TGGCCTTGTGCAGGCCGGAAGAGGCAACCTTCAATTTGCTGACCACCTGAGCAACAGTGCCTGTGCTTGAGACTCCACTATCATCAATATATTGGTCGAGCTGCGTGCGGGGGGGGGAACTCGATTTTGTCGAAACTCTCGATGCAATGAACCTTGACGTACGACGCGGCGAAACTGCAACCAACGATGACCCCCCTCACCGCGTTGAAAGGGTCCGGACACGTAGTCGCCCATACACATAAACCCAGCTCCACGGTGCGCCGCAATCGACAGCCTATACAGCACGGGAGGGAGCTGAAAACGCTGACAGTGTAGCTCCAACCGTTCCAGAGAGATGCCTTCGTAGAATTTCGTCATGTCCCAGAGCAAAGTCCCCGAACACAGCCCCTTGGAGTTGGCGGTCTCAGATTTCAGCATCTGCCTCCAGACCACGGCCGTGGCGGAGGCGAACGATTGGCCAGCAACATAGGGCCGAGAGAACGCGACCTCCCACTGTCGGGCGTAAATACGACGGCATCTTCCCCACAGGCGGTATATGGAGCAGAATAACCCAATAGGCCTCCAGCCTCCGTTGGGCTTCATGAGTAAAATCACCTGGGTGAGCTGGACCTGCAACGGGAGGCACGATATGGACCCCATTATGCTGATCATCATGGAGACCACTTGTAAACACTGGTCCGACATCCACGAGTAGTGTCTCATATGGAATCCGTCCATCGCGCACGCCGCACGGGTCGAGTAGTTCCTAGAGACCTCTCTCAAGAAATCAACTTCGAGCGGCGGAAGGGGCTCCGATGCAGTCAAATGTTCCCGATAGTCAGGCCTGGATTGGGCCTCTCAAATTCTGGAGAAAAGCGACGCTTGGTTCTTGAGGAGGGCCAGGGGGTCCGAAATCGCAATCCCAGCCGACGACAGGGTGGTGGACGCCTTCCAGCCCGCCACGGGCTTTCTGGCCAGATGCGCGTTGCGACCCCCTTTTTCGATGTTCTTTTACAGCCATTCCTTCCAGGATCTAGAAGCCTGACTCCTGGCACAGTTCTGCTCCGCCTCCAGCGCCTGACTCAAGTCAGTGAGCAAATCGAAATCGAGGGCCTCGCCAGCCTCGTCACCCTCTGTGCAGCGGGGGTCGACGTAGCCGACGGCGCAGGGCGTGTCCTGCCTAAACGCGGCGCCGACTCTGATAGTCGCGCCGTTCCTGGCATTATTTTTCGGTCGCAGTCGGCCAAAGGTGTGGGCGAGAAAAGCTAACCCCCTGTTGGCATCTGAGAAGCAGCTCAGAGTGCGGGCCCAAAAAATTGACAAGATCCCCTGGAGGGTCACCGATCAAACGAGCGCGCTGTTGGGCCTCTGGAGAACCAACCTCGGTACCTCTCCACTGACGGAAGGTGTTAGAAAGCCATTTTATCCCGAAAAGCTCAGGGCGCTTGCACTTCTGAACGGAATCCCGAAACACAGAGGCCCATTTAAGCTTAGGCTTGCGCCCACGCGCTCCGTACCTAAGTAACTTAGAATGAGCAACCTCGGCCACCTCATGCTCAGCCAAATTCCCCCAGAGACGGTAGAGCCGAGATAACTTGTCCTGGAAACCCTCGGACGAAGCCCCTGGAACCAGCTCGCTCAGGATTTCACATTCCATCCCGAGGGCGCGTTTCCAGGAAGGGGGGGCCCTTGGGGGCCCTATGGGACGCTCAGAGGGGATGGGGGGGGGGGGGGGGGTCGAACACCAAAGCCCGCAGAGAAGCCGCGCGCTCGTGCAGCTCGAGTTGGACAGGCAAATGCGGCGTGATGTTCGAACCTCTTTGGACCGAGACATCCTTGGCAGCCTTGGCGAGGCCCTTCGCGGCCACGAACAAGACGGTCAACTTCATCCCGCCCGTGGCGGAGCAAGTGCCGTCGCATGACGGAGAGATGATCTGCCCCGGTAAACGTCCAGGGAAACCGCTGTCCAGGATTGTACCAGGGCTCATATTGAAATCTCCCCCCACCAACATTTCAGACGCGTGGATTCCCTGGGGGCTGCCGACAGCGCCCAAAATATCCAAATTGCGATTGGCGAGGCCTTCGGAGCAGCGCAAGTACACCGAAACAAAAGGAACCTGAAGAGCTGCATCCCCAGGAAGATGAATGATGCCCGCGACCGCTCTGAACGGGACAACTTCTGAGTTGAAGTTGGGCACGGGGTGCAAGCCGAGGAACTCGCGTCCGAGCACAGCAACACCGCCTGAGCCTCCCTCGCCCTCGCCTGGAAGAGCAGGAGAGAACATCCCCTTCCAACCGTTGCGCAGGCACCAGGCCTCCGCAACTTTACACGACTCACTGGACACCAGGTGGTGCTCTTGGATGGCCACGGCATGGGCCTGGGCCCCCAGGAGCCATTCCTTGCAGGACCCCCGGGACGTGGCGTTACAGGTTTCAAACTTTAAACAGAACTGATCCATGGACGGGGAGTCGGGCACCTGAAAGAATTCAAAATTGGGCCCGACGCCAACCCGAGCAGCAACTAAACTGTCACTGATCCCGAAAACTCGGCCTGCAGGAGGCCCGTCCTTGGAAAGCGAGAGCTTAGGAAAGGAGTGCAGGGGCGAAAGTCCCCCCGCCGCCTCCTCCTCCAGAGGAGCAATCGACTTGACTGAAAGAGAGTGCTGGAAACTGCTGCCACCCTGGAGAACGATCAGGAGCAGCGTTGGCAGACGCGGCAGTCTTGGCCTTCTTCGCTGCTGCCTCGATGAACGAAGAGACGCGCTCCCTCGATTCAGCCGAGACAGCCTCTGACTGCGCCTCCTTCCAGGCACGCAAAAAGTTATCGAACGCCTCCGAGTCCTCAGGATCGACCTGAGGCATAGCTTCATCCACAGGCGTGCCAGTCTCCGCCCCGGCCCCTGCGCCCGTCCCCCCACCCACATCAGCATCAGCACCGCCAGCTCCGCTGGCAGGCTGTGGCCCTTGGGCGAAAGACTCGCAGCTTGGCATGAGCTTGGCCCAGCCCTCACGTATCGCCGCCAGGTCGCCCGACGCCAACACAGAGTCGAAGTCGGACACGTGGCCTTGGAACTCTGCCGCTTGAGGAGGCGGTGGGAGGTCGGCAACCTTCGCCGCCAGCTCGAGGTAGCGTGCCTTGAGCTGTACCTGCTGTGCAACAGCCTCAGCCCGCTTCTCGTTAAGTTCCTTGAGACGCGCCTGAGCGTCACAAATTTGCTTGTCGAGAGAGACCACCATGCGTTCGTTCTTCTCCATGGCCTGCTGCGCCTCGTTGGCCTGCTGACGGAGGGGCCGAGCTTCAGACTGACGAGAACGAACGGCTGTGGCAGAGGCTTCGACCGAGCTGTCCACCGCCGCACGCCCGGGGAAGTCCTCCTTGAGCTGGCCCATGAGCACCTTGATCTGGGACAGCAGCGACAGGGGATCCGATGGGGAAACCAGCATGCCACCTCGACCGCCGCCACGACCGCCAGCCCCTTTTCCCCCGCCGCCAATGCCACCGCCTCCGCCGAAACTGCCGTTGTAGCCTCCCTTGCCGCCGAGAGAACCATGGTTCTCGCCCTTGAGCACGTTGGGGGGAGATCCATCCTTCCACACACCAGCATGAGAAGGCTGAAAACCATAAGACACCTGCGGTATAGGCGCCCAGCAATTCGCACACCACTTGTACCACGGTTTGTTGCACTTCGCAGCGCCACACGCGAGATACTTCGCCCCACCATCATGCTTTGGTCCCATGAGAGACGCGTGCGAATGCAAAGCGACAGAACGAGCCAGAATGACCCGCTAGCGCAATGTGCCGTTCTGAAGTATACGCTAGCAAGCCCAAACAACTTGGGCCAGAACGGCTACGCCGGCGTCTGGGGGGGCCGCGGCCGGCCTGGGAGGAGGAGGAGGAGGAGGAGGAGGAGGAGGAGGAGGAGGAGGAGGAGGAGGAGGAGGAGGAGGAGGAGGAGGAGGAGGAGGAGGAGGAGTGGAGGAGGAGGAGAGCGCGCGGCCGCGCCGGCGTCTGGGGGGGCAGCCGGCTCCGGTGCCCGGCGCCCGCCCGCTCTTGCAGGAGAGGGGGGCGCTCGCGGCGGGCTGCGGAGCGGCGGGGATGCCGAAGAGAGGGGGAGGGAGGGAGGGAGAGAGAAGGAGGGGGAGGGAAAGAGAGAGGGAGATCGACAGAGAGAGAGAGAGAGAACAACACATCAAATACACAGGAAGAAAGAGAGAGAGGGAGCTAGAGAGAGAGAGGGAATGAGAATGAGAATGAGAAATAATCCATGGTCATAAACGAGAAGGTGTATATAGCGAGAGAAAGAGGATGCTAGAGAGAGAGAGAGAGAGAAAGAGACAACGCGAGGAAATCAAATAGTGTTTTAGACCGAATGTAAACGAGAGAGAGAGGGAAATAGACAGAGAGAGAGAGAGAGTAGAGCGAGAGCGAGACATGGGGGAAGAGAGAGAGAGAGAGAGAGAGCGAAGGGACAGCATGATAAAGAAAGATGCAGAACGATAAAGAGAGGAAACAAACAACAAAGATGCATCAAACATATTGTACACGGACGGAGACAGACAGAGAGGGAGAGAGATGGAGGGGTAGCGTTGCATACGTAGGAACGGAACGGCGGGAACGATGTCATGGTGCGTGCGTGTGCTGCCATGCCATGGTGCGCAACCATGCTTCGGTGCACCCGTCGGCCACTGAGCACTGAGCAGATCTGGAAGCGCACCGCGCTCCGAGGCGTCCCTCCTGCCGGCCTCTCTTCAAAGAGGCGTCGGCATCCAGCTAAGCGGACCGAGGCTCGGGCCAGGCCTGCCGAGTGCCAGGAAGACGCGCTGGAAGCGAAGGGTGATCCACACGTTCGGAACACATCGGGCGCAGAGGGAGAGGGGACGACCCTCTGCATCTCCGGCGGGCCCGCGTGCTGCTGCGACCCCATCTGCGGGAGGCGCACGTCAATCCGCCGACCCCGGCCCACAGAAATGGCGTGGCTGCCTTCCGAATGGAGCCGGTCCGGATCGAAACGGACTCCGCTTCATTTGTTCCTCAAGAGCCGGCTCACCAGAGCCCCCAGGAAACGCCGAGAGTCCTGCTCGTCAAGTCTCGACAGCACATGGCTCGAAACTTGCGCACAAGCGGGAGCTGTGTCTTGCCCTGCAGTGCATGATCGCTGTCTCTGTAAGTAAGCTTTCGAAATCTCAGGGTGAACGGCGCTCAAGATCGCGCGACCCTGGCCCACTCGCACCTCAACCACTGCCGCTTCTCTCGAGGGCCAGCCTGGTAGCGGAGCGTCCGCGTAGCAAGCCAGCACTTGCGCAGAAGCAGGATACTCCTGATCCAAGATGTACCTCGGACCCCCGTTCCAATACACGCCCAGAACCTCCTCGTCGACCACGCTGGTACTGACGTCCCGTCGACAGTCCGCGCACACCTGCTCCACCAATGCACCCACCCTGCGCGCCGCTCCTGTAGACCGCGGCCCCAGATCGATTGACCGACCCCCCGCAGATGGTTGCTGGCCAGGCGCGTCTGGCGACATTGCTCGAGTGCCACTGCCTCTCTCACGCAGGGGCATCTCCAGCTCCCGGCTGACCACGATCCTCGCAACCCGGCCCGTGGTATGGTCGCCGGTGTACGCGTAGTCGCCGAGCCAGGGCCCTTCAGCAGTGCCAGGGAACAGCGCCAGCTCTCTCGCTCCGACGATGCGCCTGTCCTGCGCCGCCCAGTTGTGCAGGTCGAACTTGCAGAGCCTGCTCGCGAAGTAGGACCCTGCGCATAGGCCCAACAAGGAGCCGCCTCCCTCGACGAAACCCCTGATCTTAGGGGAAGAAAGAAGCGACACGAACACAAACTTTCGAAACTCCGCACGGACCTCTCGATTGGGCGCTCGCCCCCCCTGCCGGCGCGTCCGGCGCCGCTCCTGGCGCATTTCGCGCGCCAGGGAGAGGGTCCAGCGCCGATCCAAGAGATCCGCGCGGCGCCCCGAGCGTTGGTGCTCATGCCGTGCGCTCTTCTCCTGTGATCACCCCCACGCCGTCCCCGTCCAGCTTCTTACAGTAGCCGAGGTCGAAGCCTCCCGGGATCAGCAGGAGCTGCCCGAGCCCCCCAGGCGACGACGCCTCGGCGCCTCCCCAGTCGATCCACGACCCCTCTCGGAGAGAGACGGCGTCCAGAAAGGCCACGTCCTCCCGCTGCAGGCCGACGCTTCCCGTGTGCGCGCCCGCGAGGACGTCGCGCGCGAAGAGCTCCGGGTCCTCGCGCACGAGCAGAGCAAGGAACGGACGGCGAAAGCAGAAGCTTTCTCGCAGCTCCGCGCGGAATGCTTCGATCGGCGGCGGCCGCCCCCTCCTTGGCCCGCGGAGCGCCGGAAGCGCTGCCAGGAGGGACAGCGCCTATCCAAGAAATCCGCGCCGAGCTCCACAAGCTAATGATCGTGCCGGCTTTCCCTCCTCGAACGTAAGGGCCAGCTCCCAGATCATTGTTCGGCGGCGCGCCTAGGGAGGAAGTGAGAGAGGAGGAGGAAGAGGAGCAGGAGGAGGAGGAGGAGGAGGAGGAGGAGGCGGAGGAGGAGGAGGAGGGGGGAGGGGCAGGAGAAGGAGGAGGAGAAGGAGGAGGAGGGAAGGGGGAGGGGCAGGTTGAGGAGGAGGAGGAGGAGGAGGAGGAGGAGGAGGAGGAGGAGGAGGAGGAGGAGGGGGGGGAGGGGGAGGATGGGGGAGGGGGAGGGGGAGGGGCAGGAGGAGGAGGAGGAGGAAGAGTAGGAGGAGGAGGAGGAGGACCAGTAAAACCAAGAGTCATCAACGATGTTGGAATTAACCCTCCCTCTAAGCTCCCGTTTCATAGGCCCCCACAACGGTTCATTTCCATTGAGGGGACTGCCTCGTTGGAAGACAACCGTGTGAAGATCTTGAAGCATGCCAAAACATTGTTCTCGGGATTTCGACGCCACGAATCAACCTGACAGCTGCGTCCTGACGATCCAGAATCGCGCCAGAGCGCCATTTGTGGACTTCAGCACCACGAATCAACCTAACTGTTGCGCCCGCATAACCCTGAATCCTTCTAAAACAACATCACTGGTACGTTGCTCCTGGGAATCCGTAAAACTCTTGCGAAATTTCCAAACAAATGTGCGCGGCTCTCAGGCGAGAACCAGAGTTTGAAAAAGAGCTGCCCACAATCCGTGAAACTCTTGCAAAGTTTTCAAACGAATGTGCGCGGCGCTGAAGCAAAAACCACATATTGAACAGGAAACGCCTTCAATCCGTGAAGATCTTGCAATTTTTCAAACGAGTGTGCGCGGCGCTGAGGCGAGAACCACATAAAAAAGCCGCCCTCAATCCGTGAAACTCTTGCAAATGTTTAAAACGAATGTGCGCAGCGCTAAGGCGAGAGCCACATGTTGAAAACCACCCGCCCTCCATCTGTGAAACTGTTGTCATTTTTAAGCTTCAGAATCATAAGTAGATGGTGAGGAAGTCTCAGGCGAAACGCCCGGCCCGACCTAAAAACTGGCCTCGGGTGCGAGAGGGAGGACTTATCTATAAGGAGAAGGAATGATGGAGGAGGAGGAGGAGGAGGAGGAGGAGAAGCAGGAGGAGGAGGAGGGGGAAGAAAGCCTTCTGAGAAGCCCGCTGGCCACCTTACAGAGGCCCCCAGCGGCCTCGGAGAGGGACCGGAGCCCCGGACCTCATCTTTCTGCGACAGCCTTCGAGCAAGACCGATCTGTGAGGGTTCCTGGGCCCGAACACTGGCGAAGACGACCGGGGTGATAGGGAGAGACAATTGCGACGCTGCGATCTCGGGCTCCCTCCCTGGGCGTGCCGCCGACTTGTAGATCAGCACGCGCGGCTTCGCCATCATGGGGGGGGCTGGCAGCCCGGACGTCGGATCTGCCGTACTGTCTAGGCGATGTCGCAAGTAGGGCGGAAATGTCCGCCCTACTTTTCAGGCTCCGTCGATGTCGATTTCCGCCCTATACTTTGCCGTTGCTGTTTCCGCCATGCATTTGCGGAACTACCGCCCTACTCTGCTGAAGCGCAAATCTCCGCCCCACGTTTTCGCATTGTTTGGGGGTGCTCCCACGCAGTCTCGAATCGGAAAATCTGCCAAATTTTGGCAGATCCGAAGTCTTCTGTGGCAATTCATGGGAGCCTCCCATACCATCTGCTTGACTCTTGCGAGTCGACGCTAATCAACGCTAACCGACGCGAACTCGACGCTAATCGACTCTACGCGGCGCTACTACTCCGGCGCTCTCGCATATGTTACCAGACGCTGGCACACGCGAGTGTACTCTTGGGACGGACCTTCGATTATGCTGCTCCCATCGTGCTTGAGGACCACATCCCATAAATAATTTCGAGCACCCAGAAAAGTGTCGAAGCAGTGCCGAAATAGTATCAAACGAGTGTCTTCCAGGGCCCGACACGTGAAAACCTGCGAGTTTCGGTGCTTTCTTGGTGCCCGAAATGATTTCTGGTGATTCGGGCTAAAGTAGGTTGGAACATGGTAAAACTACGAGGAAATACAAGGATCCCACGAGCTGCCACCAGAGGAGTCGTGGGCTGGCCGAAATCGAGGAGAGACCGCAAGTGGAGAAAAGCACTTGGCTGCAGACGCGGGCATGTACGGTTCGGCGTCGCGAAGGGCCTCAAAATAACAAAACAATGGAGTGGGCATTGTCCGCAGGGGTATGTCGGAACCCGCGAGGGCAAAGTGAGCCGATCTCTTTATTAATTCAGAGACCAACTTCTTTTCTGAATTCAAACAACATCTCTAAAGACAAATTACAAAACAGTTTTATATTCAAAAACACATATCTTTTCTTATATGCAAAAGCATCTCTTTTTGAATTAAGCCATCAAAAACCATCAAGTGAACTTGAACAGGAGGGCGGACATGTTCGCGCTACCTGCGACGTCGCAATGCTAGTAGCTCCAGCTGACTTCCACAGCCTTTCTACAGGAAAAGGGCATCGAGGATGCGCCCAACACGAAGCAAACAAAACCAAGGTTAGGTCGGGCGTGTCCTCCTACAGGCGGATTTTGGACGAAAAATAAAAATAGTTAAAAAAAGATTAACAAGAGTCAATAATACTCTAAAATCGTGCCCTGACTATTTTTGGACCAGTTTCGAATATTCCTCTTGGAGAGGGACGTGCCCGACTCAAAACTAAGGCGGGCATATCCGCACCAGAAAAAGTAGGGCGGGTATGTCGGCCAAGGTATGGCAGAAGCAGGGACCGCAAGGTAGGGTGGAACTCCGCCGAGCCCGTCGGCGTCTGAGAAAGGCCTTTCCGCTCGAGTCGTCGTCGTCGTCGTCGTCGTCGTCGTCGTCGTCGCGTCGTCGTCGTCGTCGTCGCCGTGACCGCTTCGCCTTGTCCCTGTCCGTGGGCCCTCCTGCTCAAACGTCTTAGCCAACGAGAAATCGAGCAGCGTCGCAATCGAGACGAAGGTCGGGGGCGGCCAAGAGGAGCGTCCTAGAGGGGAGGGCGCAAATCATGACCGGCGGCATGTGCGCGGCCCAAGGGGGGCCCGCGGACGTAATGAAATGACATGGCCCCCGTCATGATATCCACCCCCCTAGTCATCACCCCCCTCTTGGCCGCCCCAGATTCCCTTCGATCCTTTCCCCGTCGGGCCGGGGAGGGGGGGCGCCGGGGGTTGCGACCACCCCCCCCCCCCCTGGGGGAGCCAACCCTCCCTGGGAGAAGCTTGCCCCTTTTGATCCCTTGCCTCCCAGACGCCTCGGGCTCCCCCACCCAATTCGGGATCGGCGGCACTAGCAGCAAGGCCTTCACAATAGGCATCCAAGGAACTTGAAAATGGGAGCGGAAAGCCCCGCACGAGCTGTAGGTCGGGAATGTCCTCCTAAAGGCGGACTTTGGAGGAATAATGAAGTAGCCAGAGCACAATCAAACATAATCGAAACATCGCCCCCATACTTTTTAAAACAACTATGTTGGAGAACTCCTCCTGTAGAAGGACAGGCTCGACTTGACACGAGTTACGAGAAACATCCCCCAAAAGGGCACGGCGGATCCGAGGTCAGGGTCGGGGTGCACGGCTTTCCCCGGGGTCGTAGTCAGCGACCCGAGGAGGAGGAGGAGGAGGAGGAGGAGGAGGAGGAGGAGGAGGAGGAGGAGGAGGACGAGGAGGACGGGTCGCCTAAGCCCTCCAGAGAAACCCACCAAGAAGGGCAGGCCCGACTCAACACGAGCGGCGCAAGGGCGCGAAGAGGACCGGCGCGCAGCGCTCCGCGGGGCGCGGCGCGAAAAGCTTGAGGTGGCCTGTGTAGAATCCTCCTCCTCCTCCTCCTCCTCCGCCTCCCTCCACTCCTCCCATCCTCCTCCTCCCTCCCCTCCTCCTCCTACTCCTCCCCCCACCCCCCCTCCTCCTCCTCCTCCGAGCTGCGAGAAGCATCCCCGAAAAGGGCACGGCGGATCCGAGGTCAGGGTCGGGGGCCCCGGATCGGGCCGCCTCGCGGGGCAGCCCGGCATCGCTCCAAGGGCGCCGAGCTGCCCCCAGGGAAGCGCGCTCTGGACCTCTCGAAACTGAAAATGAGGTCAAGCATGTCCCCCCCTGCAGGCAGATCTTGGGCGAAAAATAAGTAGTCAAACAAGTATTCAGAATTATCAAACTAGTCGAACAATCGTCCCCCGACTATTTTTCCCAACCCTCCTTGGTTGGGTACTTGTTTTGAATAGAGCACGGCGGTCTCTACCTTCCTTCCTTCCTTCCTTCCTTCCTTCCCGCCCCCTCCCGCCTCCTCCTCTCTTCTCTTGCGGGAGGGGCTGCGATCTGTGAAACTGTCGCCACTTTCGAAGCTGCTGGGGGGCCCAGCGGAGTGACGCCCTACGGGGATTCAGATTAGACCTCGCCATCCCTGGGGGGCTGCGATCTGTGAAACTGTCGCCACTTTCGAGGCTGCATGGGGGGCCCAGCGGAGTGACGACCTACGGGGACTCAGATTAGACCTCGCTATCCCTGGGGGGCTGCGATATGTGAAACTGTCGCCACTTTCGAGGCCTGCTGGGGGGCCCAGCGGAGTGACGCCCTACGGGGATTCAGATTAGACCTCGCCATCCCTGGGGGGCTGCGATCTGTGAAACTGTCGCCACTTTCGAGGCTGCTGGGGGGCCCAGCGGAGTGACGCCCTACGGGGATTCAGATTAGACCTCGCCATCCCTGGGGGGCTGCGATCTGTGAAACTGTCGCCACTTTCGAGGGCTGCTGGGGGGCCCAGCGGAGTGACGCCCTACGGGGATTCAGATTAGACCTCGCCATCCCTGGGGGGCTGCGATCTGTGAAACTGTCGCCACTTTCGAGGCCTGCTGGGGGGCCCAGCGGAGTGACGCCCTACGGGGATTCAGATTAGACCTCGCCATCCCTGGGGGGCTGCGATCTGTGAAACTGTCGCCACTTTCGAGGCTGCTGGGGGGCCCAGCGGAGTGACGCCCTACGGGGATTCAGATTAGACCTCGCCATCCCTGGGGGGCTGCGATCTGTAAACTGTCGGGGCCACTTTCTGTGAAACTGTCGCCACTGCTGGGGGGCCCAGCGGAGTGACGCCCTACGGGGATTCAGATTAACTCGCCCCTGGGGGGCTGCGATCTGTGAAACCGTCGCCACTTTCGAGGAATGCCGGGGGGCCCAGCGGAGCGACGCCCTACGGGGATTCAGATTAGACCTCGCCATCCCTGGGGGGCTGCGATCTGTGAAACTGTCGCCACTTTCGAGGCCTGCTGGGGGGCCCAGCGGAGTGACGCCCTACGGGGATTCAGATTAGACCTCGCCATCCCTGGGGGGCTGCGATCTGTGAAACTGTCGCCACTTTCGAGGCCTGCTGGGGGGCCCAGCGGAGTGACGCCCTACGGGGATTCAGATTAGACCTCGCCATCCCTGGGGGGCTGCGATCTGTGAAACTGTCGCCACTTTCGAGGCCTGCTGGGGGGCCCAGCGGAGTGACGCCTTACGGCGACTCAGATTAGACCTCGCCATCCCTGGGGGGCTGCGATCTGTGAAACTGTCGCCACTTTCGAGGGCTGCTGGGGGGCCCAGCGGAGTGACGCCCTACGGGGATTCAGATTAGACCTCGCCATCCCTGGGGGGCTGCGATCTGTGAAACTGTCGCCACTTTCGAAGGCTGCTGGGGGGCCAGCGGAGTGACGCCCTACGGGGACTCAGATTAGACCTCGCCAGCCCTGGGGGGCTACGATCTGTGAAACTGTCGCCACTTTCGAGGGCTGCTGTGGGGCCCATGAAACTGTCGCCACTTTCGAGACCTGCTGCGGGGTCCAGCATAGTGACGTCCTACGCGGACGCAGATTGGACCCGTCATTCTACTTCGATTATCCCGCATCTGCGATCGACTGTATGTGTGCGAGGAACTAGACATGGAGTGGTCTGGCACTGACTGACGTCAAATCGTTGTGTGCCAGTGTCTCCTGGGGTGTTGCCTGATGTGGATGCAGCTCGTCGGCGCTGCGACTCGAGCTGGCGGTCGTCCTTCGGACCCGCAGAAACATCTGCTGAGCTCGATGAGCTAGGGGAACTACAGGAAAGAAGTGCAGGAAACGGAGGCCGGTCATGCACTCGCCGATACCTCGTTGCTCTGTCATCGTCTTTGCTGTTGCATGATCCTTATCTGGCCTGCCGGCGCCGCGGCTCGAGCTGGCGGTCGCCCTTCGGGCCCGCGGGAACATCTTCTGAGACAAGTGGACGCCGCCGCCTTACTTGCAGGCAGCGCATTGCATTCGCGGACAGCAGCATGGCAGACCGCAGTGAGATCCTCAGTCGCGTGGTGTTGCCAAGCCTGGTGGAGACGCGCGTGATCGACCTGAAGTCCCAATCGCGCGTGCACTGTACCTGCGTGGCGTTCAGGCACGCGCGTGATGCTGCTCGCTCCGCGTTCAACCAGTACGTCGCCAGTGCAACTTTGGACGATGGACAACCGATTGATGATACGCGACCCCGGCCTTGAGTTTCTTTCCCGCGGGCCGCCCGCAGACCTGGCGGCGCGCCTGCGAGCGTTCAGCTCCCGCGCTGAAATGTGCGGGAAGGAGGCGGAGAAGCTAGCGGGCGAGCTACGCCTCGCTCGTTCCTTGCACTCTAAACAAGTTTTATCATGTGGAACTCTGCGACGACATGGCGCAGGCAGCGCTGCGGGTTTAGCTCGCACTTGAAAAACGCGGCAGTCTTCTGTCTCCTCCCGCCACTTTCATCGTCGTCCTATTCCCCGCCTCACCTTCTCCATGCATGCTGCTGCTTCCGCGATGGCCTTTCGCCCCCCCCGCCCTCCATTCCATCCCTCTCCTACCCCTCGTTCCCGTACCCGTTCTTCTTCGATCCTGGGGCCTCAAGCCTCGTTCTTTCGATCGTCGTCCTGTGAATCGTGCAACGCATGCGCATCCCATGTAGCTTGCACAGCAAATCGCCGCGTCTACACTGTCGTTGTTCCTGCTAATGTTGGCATACCCCTCTTGCCATTTGATGCACGTGGGTTGGGTACGTCGCAGGGTAATTTATTATTTTTGAATTTTCCTCCTGTAGAGGGGCACGCCCGACTTAAAGTGAAAAACACATCGGCGGATATTCGAGCAGCCGAAAAGGAGCTCCGAGAGTGTCGGCTGGATCTCGATCCCCCTATCGACGCTGACCAGCGTCGGCAGAGGCACAACGAGAAGCATTGCAGCACTCCCCGCATGGAGGGCGGGTTCTCGTCGATACGATTCTGCTCCGGGGGTCAGCATCGAATGGTTCTAAAATGAGTCCGTCAAGATCGAGCATGTTGTTTTCAGGGCTTCAGATGCCAGCGAAGAGCTTGCCTGCAGACCCTCCTCCTCCTCCTCCTCCTCCTCCTCCTCCTCCTCCTCCTCCTCCTAATCCTCCCCCCCCCCCCCCTCTGCTCCCCCTCCTCCTGCTCTCCTCTGCCTCCTTCTCCTCCTCTTGCTTCTCCTCCACATCCTTCTCCCCCCTCCTCCTCCTCTCTCATCCACCTCCTCCACCCTGCCCCCCCCCTCATTTTCATCTGCGTCGCTCTCAGGGTCGGCGGCAACGGCCGTAAGGCCTTCGCAATAATAATAATAGCAATCATAAGTTTCACCATAACGATGATAATGAATGACCGTACTAATGAGAAGAATAATAAGAAGACGAATACTGAGACTAACAGGACGAATGAGAACACGAATAACAACCAGACTAACAAAAACAACAGTAGTAATATGAATAGAAATGATACCATACATAGTAATAATAGTGATACTAATAATAATCGTAATCGTACTAGTACTAGTAATAGTAATAGTACTAGTAATCGTAATAGTCATAGTAATAATAATGTAACTAGTATGAATGCTAGTGGTAGTAGTAGTACTAGTACTCGTAATATTACTAGTAATATTAATCGTACTAATGATCGTACTAGTACTCGTAATCGTACTAGGGCTAGTACGAGTACTAATACTAGTACTAGTAAGAGTAACACTAATAGTGATATTACTACTAATAATACTACTAATTATAGTCATATGTATATATCATCATGATATATATGTAATAATACTACGTGCTTTAATAATAGTAGTAATGATGATGATAATAATAGTAGTAGTAATACTAATCATGATGATGATAATAATAATACTAATAATAGCAAAAACAATACCACTAACAATACTACATGTAATACTGGTACGACTAAACATACTAATGCTACTAATACTAAGCACACCGGTAATACTATTAGTACGAGTAACGATGCTGCACTACGCATAACAATAACGCTGCATGCTCTAGCATGAAGTCCAAGCAACGACAACGAGGAGGAGGAGGAGAAGGTGGATGAGAAGGAGGAGGAGGCGGAGGCGGAGGAGGAGGAAGAGGAGGAGGCGGAGGCGGAGGCGGAGGCGAGGAGGAGAGGAGGAGGAGGGAGGAGGAGGAGGAGGAGGGGAGGGAGGATGAGGAGGAGGGGAGGAGGAGAAGGAGAGGAGGAAGAGGAGGAGGAGAAGGGAGGGGTGGAGGGGAGGAGGAGGAGGAGGACGAGGGGGAGGGAGGAGGAGGAGGCGGCGGAGGCGGCGGAGGAGGAGGCGGCGGAGGCGGCGGCGGAGGCGGAGGCGGAGGAGGAAGGCTCCGCGGCCGCGGCCGGAGGGCGGCGCGGCTGGAGGGCGGCCTCCCTGCGGGCCCGGAGGTGCGGCGCCCAGCTCCCGGCCTTCTCCTGCGGCGACGGGGGGGGCCCCCCGCCCCCCCCCCGCGCGGGCGGCGAGCCACCCAGAGGTCCAACGCACTGAGAAAATCGCGACGGAGTTTTTTCGCACGTGTCGGTCCCTGGGGGCCCTCGCGGGGCCTCGGGACCGTCAAAAACGACTCGGGATGAAAAACCGGTCCTGGGGAGTGGATCGAGGCCTCCGGGGGCCCGGTATTGGAAAAATCCCGACGTCGGATCTCTGGGCAGGCGGACCGCCCAGAGCGCGTCTCGGTGTCTTCGGCGGCAGTGGGCATCACAAGGGGGGGGGGAGGGGAAAAGGGGCCAGGGGGGGGGGTATAGTGTGACGCCTCCCCCCCCGCCCTGCGCACGGCAGCTGCGCACGGAGCGCACCGGGGAGGGGGAAGGGGGGGGGCGTTACGTTATAGGGGGGGGAGGGGGGGGACATTTGAGACTGTGTGGCGTGCGCTATTGTCGCGCGGACACATGTTGTCGCGCAGCATCTCGTGGCGTGGGCTTGCTGACGTCCTCATCTCCATCATCATCATCATCATCATCATCATCATCATCATCATCATCATCATCATCATCATCATCATCATCATCATCATCATCATCATCATCATCATCATCATCATCATCATCATCATCCATCATCATCATCTCATCATCTCATCATCCTCATCATCATCCTCATCATCCTCATCCTCATCCTCATCCTCATCCTCATCCTCATCCTCATCCTCCTCATCCTCCTCCTCATCCTCATCCTCATCTCATCTCATCATCCTAATCCTCATCCTCATCCTCATCCTCATCTCATCCTCATCCTCATCCTCATCCTCATCATCATCATCCATCATCATCATCATCATCATCATCATCATCATCATCATCATCATCATCATCATCATCTCTCCTCCTTCCCCTCCTCCCCCTCCGCCTCTTTGCTTCCCAGGCCAGGACGGAGGGGGAGGAGAAGAGCGAAGTAGTGGGGAGGAGGGGGTTGGTACAGTGAAACATGATAAGAAGCCTCCACCATGAAAATCGATAAAGACACACTACAATGAAAAACAATAAGAAATCCATACAATCAAAAACAATAGGAAATCCTTACACTCAAAAACAAGAAGAAACCCATACAATCAAAAACAAACAGAAATCCAGACGATCAAAAACAATCAGAAAACGTATTGGGTCCACGAACACCCGAGAGGGTACCCAACAAACCAAAAAACGAAAACAGAAGCAACAAACAAAACAAAAACGCTTATGGCACCCCCAGAAAACAAACATCAATGGTTTTCGTGCCTTCGGACTTCCTCCGGGTCCCTCCAGCCCAGGTCCGCCCAGGCAGCCTGAAGGCACAAACGTCTTGGGTCCACGAATCCTGTGAGGGTACCAAACAAAAAAAAAACAAAAAAAACCTGTGAGGGCACCAGCAAAAAACAAAAATCAATGGTTTTCGTGTCTTCGGACTTCCTCCGGACCCCTCCAGCCCAGATCCGCCCAGGAAGCCTGAAGGCACGAAAACTATTGATGTTTGGTTTGGTACCCTCACAGTTTTTTTTGGTGCCCTCACAGGGTTCGTGGACCCAAGACGTTTTCTGATGGTTTTTGATCGTCTGGATTTCTTATAGATTCTGAGTATATGGTCTTCTTGTTGGTTTTAATTGTATGGGTTTCGTATTGTGTTTGATTATATGGATTTCTGATTGCTTTGGATTGTATGGGCTTCTTATTTGTTTGATTGTATGGTGATGTTATTGTTTCTGATTGTACGAAGACGAGAATGAACGTGAGGATGAGAAACATAATGATGATGGTACAGACGATGATGGTGACGATGATGAAGATAGCTATGCTGAGAAACGCCTCACGCCACATAGTCTTAAATGTCACCCTTACGGGGGGGGGAGGGGGGCCCGAGGGCTATCATGCCCATGATGCCCCAAGCAATAAAGAAGCACGCTCCTATCAGACCACCCCAACACAACCCGAAGACCCGAACTGCGGGCTGGGGAGGGGGCACGGGCTTCACTTATGGGCGATGTCGGAAACCCTGAGCCGAAAAACGCTTTCATCTCTTATAGGCGCATCTTTCACTTCCGCAGCCTTCCGCCGGCGGAGGCGGCCTCGTTTTACTTCCGCCGCCTTTCCGCTGCCTTCCGCCGAGGAAGAGATGACAACTCCTTCGATCCTCGAAGGCAAGGCCCTTTTTGGAACGCCTCGTATGTGTTTTGTTCAACGTTCCCCGACCCCCCCCTCCACTGGAATTAGGTCGGGCTTGTTCCCCTACAGGCGGATATGGGGCGAAAGCTTTCAAGCATACGCAACAATATTACAAACTAGTCAAACAATACTATACAAAAATCGTCCCCAGACCATGTTTGGACTATCTTTGGATATTACTCCTTTAGAGGGACACGCCCGACTTAAAGCTGGACCCCCCTCCCTCCCTCCCTCCCTGGCGCGCGGAGAACGCGATGGGCGGCGCCGGAGGCACCGCCAGGGGACCAGGCGCCCTAGAAACTCGCAGAAACTCCTGAAGCGCATCCTGAGCCAATGGCATCACGACGTCACTGTGTGCTTCTGGGGTCCCAGACTATTTGCTTACTATTTGGGAATTCTCCTCCTGTAGAGGGACGGGCCCGACTTTACACTGGAAATGCCGGGCGAATCGGGGCCTTCGGACTGGGCTGGGGTGGTGTGGCGGGCTGCAAGCGAGGCGGATCCAGCCGCGGCGGCGAGGAGCCTCTGGGAGTCGGCGGCGAGCGCGGGGGGGGAAGCGAGGAGGAGGAGGAGGAGGAGGAGGAGGAGGAGGGGGAGGAGGAAAAAGGAGAGGAGGAGGAGGAGGAGGAGGAGGAGAGGAGGAAGAAGAAGGGGAGGAGAAGGAGAAGGAGGAGGAGGAGGAGGACGAGGAGGAGGAGGAGGGGGAGGAGGAGGAGGAGGAGGAAGAAAAAAGGAGGAGGAAGACGGGGAGGAGGAGCAGCAGCAGGAAGAAGGGGAGGAGAGGAGGAGAGGGAGGAGGAGGGGAGGAGGAGGAGGAGGAGGAGGAGGAGGGGAAAAGGGGAGAGGAGGATGAGGAGGAGGAGGAGGAGTGGAGGAGGACGAGGGAGGAGGAGGAGGAGGAGGAGGGAGGAGGAGGAGGAGGAGGAGGAGGAGCCGATGGGTGGTCAGGAAGAGTAAGGACGGCAGCCCACCCAGGAGCGAGGAGGCGAATGCCCTTTCTCACGAGGCGGCGGGGCTCCTCAGAAGCCGCTCGGGCCGTCTAAGAAGTTTTCGGTGCCTTCGAGCCGTCTGAGAAGGCCCGCCCCGCCTCACTTCCTCCCCGGGCTCGCCGCCGAATGTAGGAGGCTTGCGAATGAGCACCAACACCAACACACATAGGGGGTGATCCCACCGAAGGAGGATGATCCTAGATTTCGGCGTCGGTCGCATGTTGGCTACCTGGGAACCCTGGGTGTGACCGCCATCGCCGAGATCTGGGTCATCTTCCCGAAATGGACGCACGCCGCCGACAGCCGATCTTTTCCCCAACCGTCCTGTGGTGTTCGGGCATCGTTTTGAAGAGACGGCGCCCCGCGTCCCTCCCTCCCTCCCGCCTCCTCCTCCTCCTCCTCCTCCTCTTCCTCCTCCTCCTCCTCTTCCTCCTCCTCCTCCTCCTCCTCCCTCCTCCCCCTCCTCCTTTCTCCCAGTCCTTGCCCCTGCCTTCATAATGTCTTTGTTCCAGTACATCCCTCTCCCATTTGGGGACAATCCCTCACGCGTTTCGTGGCCCCACAAGGAACTCCACCTAAGGTCGCAATGGCGTTGTTCGCATGGCGCCGCCGCCCCATTTTGGCACGCCCCTCACACGTTTAGTGGCCCCCTAAGGAGCTCCACCTGGGGTCGCAATGGCGCATGGCGCCGCCGCCCCATTTTGGCACACCCCATCACACGTTTCGTGGCCCCATATGGAGCTCCACCTAAGGTCCCAGTGGCGCAGTTCGCATGGCGCCGCCGCTCCATTTTGGCACACCCCTCACACGCCTCGTGGCCCCATGAGGAGCTCCACCGAAGATCTCTTTGGCATAGTTCGCATGGCGCCGCCGCCCCATTTTGGCACACCCCTCACACGTTTCGTGGCCCCACAGGGAGCTCCACCTAAGGTCCCAATGGCGCTGTTCGCATGGCGCCGCCTTCCCACTTGGGCAAAATCCGCCGACCCCTTGGGTCATCGGCGTGTGAGATGCTTCCCCCTCCCCAAACCCCTCCCCCGGGAACCCGGTCCGGTCGATTTGGAGGGGGGGGGGGTGCCGACTACGAACGACTCACGACGCTCTTCCGGGCCCAAAAGGGCCCAAATACGGGCCAAGAAGGCCCCAAGAGGCCTCCCAGACATTCCAAGAGGCCCCCAGACGCCCCAAGAGACCGCCTAGACGCCCTAAGAAGCGCCCAAGAGGCCCCAAGAGGCTTCCAAGACGCCCCACGAGGGCTCCAAGACGCCCGAAGAGACCTCCAAGACGCCCCAAGAGACCTCCAAGAGGCCCCCGAGGAGAGCCCCAAGAGGCCAAAATCGTTGATTTTCATTGTTTTTTTAATGTTTTCGTCATTTTCGCCTTTTCGGCCTTCCGACGCTCCAAGACAGCCCAAGAAGCTCCCAAGACTGCTCCAAGACGGCAAAAGAGGCCTCCACGACGCCCCCAAGACGTCCCAGGAGAGCCCCCAGACGGCCCAAGAGCCGCCCAAGGCGGCCCAAGAGAGCCCCCAGACGGCCCAAGAGCCGCCCAAGACGGCCCAAGAATCTCCCGGAGACGGGCCCAAGAGGGGCTCCAGAGAGAGACCACGCACCGGAAAACCCAGCCTTACGCCCCAAGAGGCCCCCAGGAGGCCCCAAGAGGCCCCAAAGAGGCCCCAAGAACCCCCCAAGAGGCCCCCAAGACGTTCCAAGAGGCGCCCAAGAAGCCACAAAGAGGCCCCAAAACGGCCCCCAAGAGCCTTCGAAACTGCTCCAAGCGGCCCGCAAG